TAACGCGCCGATTCGTTTGGTTGAGTGTGTGATAGCTTCGGACTAGCTCGGATGAATGTGTTTGAAGAGAGGGACGTTTTAAACAAATATGTTCGCAGAAACAGTGTCATCAACCCTCGAAACTTCCCCCACCCATTTACGTTGGTTGCCCAGTGCCATGAGTCGAAAAAACGGAAGTAAATTTACCTCACCTGTGGAAATATTCGTAATTCGTATCAGTAAAATTAGAAATTAGATTGCAAACGCTCCGCTGCTAATCGTGACGTCATCAGCAATTCACGCAAGCGATCCTCATCTGTGTGTGCTCTTACCTCCAACAAGTAAGCCTGAGTGACGCATTTTGGTTGAAACGGGAAGTAACTAAGTTGTTGGTCTGTCTCGGTGATTCCCCTTTGTAGTGCTCATGTTGCCTGATTGAAAGTGTGTTTTGTTGTCCTTGTTTCGATTGTATGGGAAAAATCACTCAGCTGCCATGCCACCCGAAGGAAGCACGAGGGCTGGGATACTGCCAGGTTGCCCAAGTATAGACAGGCGAAGTCGAGAGGCAGAGGTCGGGTTCGAACCACGAACCTTCTGGTCAGTAAATTCGCGATCTGACCACCTGAGCCATCTCGCCCCTTCGATTGTATGACACAAACTTAGCTCGTCAACATGAGTTGACTGCGGATGGTTGCACACACTGGCAGACAGTACTCACCACGTATGATGCATGTTTGTCCCTCGTTCGTTTTTCTCGGCATGACAGTCGAAGCTTGATTGGCGGATTGCGGGAATCTACAATGCGCGAGCCTTTACCATGAGGGGTTCACGCACAAAAGTGGAAAAAATGTCGACATCCGTTTTCTTGAAATCGCCTGTTGGCTAGCTTGTCTTATCAGAGAATCAGAAAGGTGGACTTTTGTGGCCGAACCGAGATTTTCACATGGGATTTGTAGCTACTCTCAGGATACTTACATCCGAGAATCTTGCTGTCCACATTTGTCTTCAATCTGCGGAAAGTGTTTGCGGAAGCTTGAGTTGCTTTCGACAGCTCAGCACAGGTCCTCGTTCGGGCTGCTCTATACCGGGTCAAGCAAGCCTTTGAAGGAATACCTTTTTATCTTTACTTGAGAGGCCTTTTCTCGCGCAACTCATGGTATTACGTTCCTTTCGGGGTAGGTTACCTGTATTCGTCAGGTCAGTGACTAGCAAAAGATGGATGTTATTCCCCATCGTTCGTTCTAAATGAAAGCACTTTGCAATTATTTCATCCTTATAGGGAATGATCATCAGTGCGCGTCTCGCGGAACTCCACGACCACTTGGCCAGTTGTTGACACGACCATTCAGTTTTGGACTGGGTGATTAGCTCGCAATTAGACAGGATAGATTGCCCGTTATTCCTCAAACACCAGATCGACCTCACTTGGTCACAATTCTTGGCTTGCTCCTCGAGTGGCGACTTCCCAGATGGTGCGAGCCCGTCTGAGCCAGCCACACATTACTGAAAAGACGCTTGTGGCCGAACGGTTAAGCGTTCAAACTAGCAACCAAGAGAAGCTCCGGGAGGTTTCGTGAGATGGGCACTGCTGATGACCCTCAACAAGTAGGAAACAGCTGGATAATACTTTAAGGCTTTTCAGCCTTCACTTACAAAATGAGACCTGTATTGAAATTTCCGGGGGCTTATCAGGTAGGCACAGTTCCCGAGTCTCCGTCAACTTTACGTTCCGCTTGATGGGGCAAATTTCGAGAAGTACTGTCATTTGGGCACAAACTTACTTTTGACAGGAGGCTTACCTGAATCCAGCTGAATCTCTCGTCCGTTATAAACAGCTGCTAGTTTTTACCTAGTCATTGAAAATGGCGGACCAAGATCGCGTGGATTACGCAGGCAGGGCGCATAAGGTTGACGAAAATTCGGTGATTGCGCCTATCTGATGAGACCCAAGAAAGATGAAATTGGTCGTGGGCTGTCGAAGAGCTTTCAGCAACATTATGAGTAGTGTATTACGTCTAAAACTCTCCTAGTTCTATTCAAATGGGATGGAACCTTAGCGGGGAACACAGCCGGTCACATCAATTTTTTGTAGAGTGTACCCAAGAGGACCACATACATGCATAACGCAGCATAGTGGATGATTCAGCAAGGTTGGTGCCAAAGGTCGGTGATGCATTCGCTCTATTCAGAGTGATGGACTTGATCGTGTTCATTTTGTGGAATTTCGTGATACCCATTAGAATATTCGTTATGTTGATCTGTCTTCCAACCCGCTAGCCAGTGTTTAAAATAACGATGCGACCACATCAATCACAACCAAATGATTAAATAATTTCTGTTATCGCGTGGATTACGCAGGCAGGGCGCATAAGGTTGACGAAAATTCGGTGATTGCGCCTATCTGATGAGACCCAAGAAAGATGAAATTGGTCGTGGGCTGTCGAAGAGCTTTCAGCAACATTATGAGTAGTGTATTACGTCTAAAACTCTCCTAGTTCTATTCAAATGGGATGGAACCTTAGCGGGGAACACAGCCGGTCACATCAATTTTTTGTAGAGTGTACCCAAGAGGACCACATACATGCATAACGCAGCATAGTGGATGATTCAGCAAGGTTGGTGCCAAAGGTCGGTGATGCATTCGCTCTATTCAGAGTGATGGACTTGATCGTGTTCATTTTGTGGAATTTCGTGATACCCATTAGAATATTCGTTATGTTGATCTGTCTTCCAACCCGCTAGCCAGTGTTTAAAATAACGATGCGACCACATCAATCACAAGCAAATGATAAGGTAATTTCTGTTGCGACACCCGGGATCTCAGAAAATAAGGAACAGAATCTTCTAGCCAAAGAAACAGATTCCAGAATAAAGCTAACCATCAAAAATAGAATAGACCAATGCTGATATACCGTCATCTTGCTCACAGATTGGCTGCTCATTTGATTGGTTCCCAGAAGACAATAAAACGTGGTTTGTTGAGCCCAAACAAGCTGGGTGACCGAAATTCTCTGGCCAGGAAAAATTAGACCCTCAAATAAATCTTCAGCATCAATTTTGAGTGCAATCAAAAAGTTATCTTCTGTTTGTACATCCACTTCGATGCATTGCTTGATCGGATACTACTCAGAACTGAAACGTCGTTTCTTTTAAGCTGCAATTCGTTTATCGGAAGTTGCTCAGAGCACTTACGACGAAGGCAACCCCAACATCGTCGGAACCTAAGCAAAAAAAGCTGTCACGTATGGATTAACTGCTCAACACCCTATTTCTTCATGACTTCCGCACTGTTGAGTCTGTATTTTTTCACTTGCCTTTCTTCCCCCTCCCTACGCACGCAGTCCAAAAATGCACTTGCTCTTTTAATCTGCTTTTAGAAGCACCTAAAGCAAAACTCAGGCTAGAAAGTTAACCGCACCATGTCTGTCACGTTCGTCGAAAAGCGAAGGGACTGTCACTGTCGTTTTCAGTGTCGCAGACAAATTGCTGTCACGCTGTTTATCGGTTATCTCATCTGTTACCTGCTCCGGGTTGATATTAACGTGACAATATTGTCTATGGTCAATGACACAGTTAGTGGATCATCCAGTCACTCTGTCCCACAGCGGGCAGTTTGCGCAGCCCCCGATACGGAAGTAGCCAACGAGACTACCACCAAGGCAAGTCAAGATTCTTCTTCGTATTAATCTATTTGCATTTTAGACATCCGTGGGAACCTATTCATGGGACAGGCCAACACAAGGCCTAATCCTAGGAGCCTTCTTCTGGGGCTACATTTTTACCCAGATACCAGGTAATGTTACACTAAATTATATGCATATATTATGTCCACTAAACTATACTCCACTTTACTATTCCGGGCTATGCTATCAGATACTGTACAGTGCTACACTTCAATACCATAGCATAATGTCAGTTGCACTGTCCTATAGCATACTCATAGCAGTGTACTGCAACGTTTTATTTTGATGGGGTGACATGTGGTTGAGAACACGGACATAATCTCTTTTTTAATGACACTGTATTCGTACAATACTGTTACCTGGATATCCAAACTGTTTCAGCCGACCCGCGCTGCAATGAGCAAGTCTACACAATTTGAGACGAGTCCATGACTAAATTGTATTTGATCCAAGTTGGAAATTTGGAGTACCTGTTTTCTACATACTATTGAAAGGACTAAAGTAAAATGTGCCTTGATAGATACACAATTGCCCAGCTCGCAACGCTATCTCCCCGAGCTGACAAAATCTATCCAAAGAAAAATGGAGGACGGGACCAGATTTCAAAGAGTTTCGCTTCCGAAACCCTTTGTCCATAGTGTCAGGTGTTCATTTGTGTCTTAGAAACGTGGTACTGCCGACGGATGGGGAACCGACAGAGTGACACCCACATCCAAGTTGGATGTCAGCCTACTGGCCCGTAGTGAACCATGCGTCGCTGTTTGAATCAGTGTACTGGAACGGTTATTGATTGGCATTATACAAATTTCACTAGGATTCTCCAGTAATATACAGTAATTTTCGAGGGTACTTATAGATCTACCACGAATGCGCTTGCCTCGATGGGGTAATTCTGAGTGTTCAGAATGCTCTTGGGTTCCCCCAATGAAATCTACTAGACTCTGATTCAATGATCATTGGTGCATAAAAGTTGTAGGGCGGACTTCAAAGACTTCCCCCCCCCTGTTGAACATCCAACTTACTGACACAAAGTAGTACGTTCAGTTGGGCACAGATCTGTCGAAGGCCCTGTTGAAAGAGCCTTGCAACATTCTCTCCAAAACTCATCGACCGGT